TGAAATGGATCAAAGATCTAAATATTAAAACAGAAACACTAAATCTTTTGACAGAATAGGAAGAACTCATGAACACAGATGTAGGCAAAGATTTCATGAACAAATTCCTGATTATATGGGAAATAAAAAAAAAAATCATAACCGAGGATCACATTAAATCCTCGGCAACTGGCCAGTGATTCTAAATTTTTACATAGAAAGAAAGAGCAGTGCAACAGTTACACCAGAAATATTTTCAATGTCCCTGTTATTTTTTAATTTAGTGAGACAGACCAGAAGAGCAAACTCTTTACAGCATAAATTTCTACCACTGGGGATAGAACCAATGAAAACGCTTTTGCACAACAAAAGGAATCACCACTTGAATGAAAAGACAACCCACAGAGTGGGAAAAAATTCAGCCGGTTGTTCCTCAGACAAAGGAACATGCACACGTAAAACATATAAGGAATTGGAAAAAAAAAAAAATGAGACTCCCAAATGTAAGGACCCAATCCAAAAATGGGTATTTGAGATAAATACACACTTCTCAGATGAAGAAATATAAGGAGCAAATAAATATAGTGCAGATGTTCAATATCATTGGTCATTCAAGAGATGCAAATTAGAACAATGCTGAGATTCCATTTCACTCCAGAAAAAATGGCTATTATCAAGAAATCCAGCAAGGTTACAGGGAAACAGGAACACTTTTCCCCTGAGGTGGTAATGTGAACTAGTGCAATCACTGTGGAAATCAGTGTGGAGATTGTCAAACAACTAGAATTAGAGGTCCCAGTCAACCCAGCTATTCCCCTTTTGGGTATCTTCCCAGAAGAAATAAAAACACCAAACACAAGTATATATATATGTGCATCCATGTTTATAGCTGCACATTTCTAATATCCAAATCATGGAAATAATCCAAATGGGTAACATAGAGGGATATACATATATATATATATTCCAATAAATATCCTGTTATTAAAACACATACACCACACAAAAATGACCTAGAATGGGCATTTTCGTTGCAAAAGGCAAAGTTTTATTAAGAAATAATATAACACAAGTTTTCCCTGAAAGCAGTACCTTCACAAAGTACTAATTTGAAACAGAGATATGCCAAAAACTTAACTATCGTAAAAATCTGATCATTTTTCATTCTCTTCTTTATTTCACTGTTTTTCAAAGCTTCAATACATATGACAGGATACAGTGATATTAGATAACAAAGACATTTACTTAAATTAAACATAGTTAACATTTACAAAATAATGTCTTCCATTAATATTGGTTAATATAAGGTAACTTACTTTTTTATAAGCACAGTATATCAAGAAAATGTTGACCCAAGAAATAAATGCAGAAAGATTCAATGAAAGATAATCTGAGCCAGGTATAATGGCACATGCCTGTAATCCTGGCACCTGATAGGCTCAGGCAGGAGGATTGCTGCAAGTTTTGAGGCCAGCTGAGCTACAAAGTGAGTTCAAGGCCAGTCTGAACTACATAGCAAGACCCTGTGTCAAATAAATAAATGCATACATACATACATACATACATACATAGAAACAACTTATTTATATACATTGCTCACTGAAAAGAGAATTTTTTTAAAAAAATGTAATGTACTAAGAAACATTTTAAATTATAAAAACCAACCTAAAGGAAAACACTAATAAGATAACTTGTGAATTAACTTCCAAAATAAAGTATTTAACTAAAATATCCATCTCAATGATGATATTTTGATTATATTTCCATATAATAAATTTAGTATTCTTTTATACAGTGGCATAGCAAGGAAGCATCCCCACCCAAAATAAAAGTACATTCAGAATAAGGATATTCCCAATGATACCACAGACATTTATCCTGAAATGCCTCTGAATGACAAGCCCCTCTAATGACAAGTGAGAAAAATTGTGGCTCTAAATATAACGTTTAGAGTTGCTAAGATTACAACATACAAAAAAATCATGAAAACCTGATATGAAGAAAGTACTTACACTGGTTAATAAAAATAAAATTTTAAATGGAGTCAACTATGACTTTTAAAGTATCATTCAAAAGTTTTGTAAATCTCCATAAAGATGCAACAAGAATAAGGGTTCCCTAGTTTCTTTTACTATTTCTGAGATTTTGTTTTGTCTACAGTTCTTCAGCAGAAGCCTAACACATCATTCCCCCATTGATACTTAAGATAGTTTTGGTTTCAATGCCTAGTTTTTTTGCCATAGGTTACACAGATTCACTCCAACAAGGTCCTGCAGAACCAGGATAACAAATCTAACATGTCCTGACCCTTCTATGGGTATCCCTAATCCTTGTATCATAGATGTTCCAGACAGTCATCACCCTAGGTTTCCCTCCACCACTGTTGGTGCTTCCTGCTTGAAGAGTTTTACAGTGAAATAAGAGCATCACAGTGACAGCTGGTACTGGCAGCCATGTTGTTACCCCTGCTTGGGAAAGTCTCTTCTGATGGGAAAAAACACTTCAATTATCATCCAGAGACTCTGAAAGAAAAAAAAAAAAGAAATAAAGAAAGTAAATAAATAAATCAGTGACACTACACATCTTTAAGCTATCAGAATATCAACAACACAGTTCCTGAGCTGTCTATGGAATCATCTGTCCCTATCAAGAGGAACTCAAACAATAAGCACTATAATCTGGAAACTTCTGGGAAGCAGATAACCATCTGAATAGTAAATATAACTGAAACACTTCAGAATAGAGAGGAAGATGTTAACATCTTCTGTGAAAGTTACGTGGCGTTGAATCTCTTTATAAAACAACTGAAAAACAAATCTACATTTTCAATAATATTTTAGCAATAAAAAAGTTGTTGTTGAAAATGTCAAAGACTTTTCACAGTCAAAGACTTCAATTTGAAATCTAACACTGCTATCCAACTCTACTAGCCTTGGGGGACTAACCACATAATTTGTCATCCAAACCAGACACTTTTGAAAATGAATAAAAGAATTTTAATAATATACCTGGGCAACAGGCATAAAGTAGGATTGCTCCAGACAAAGAGAACATACACCAATCATTGAAATAAATACTAACAATGCCACTGACACTGATTATCAAATAAATGCTTAGCACAATCCCTAGCCTAAGATGTCGATTTATATTGGGTTATCCTTCATTTAGAAATGATGTTTCATAAATACGTTTAGTGGCCAACGTCAAGTTTTTGTCCTTGAAATAATGCATTTCACCACCAATGATGTACAACATAACAATTTCAAAACTATATTCAAAAAAGAAATTAAATAATACATGGAAAACACTCATAATCTACAATACTGAATATGCTCTCTAAAAATATTATTTCATTCCATATATAAAATGGCCAATAATTTCCCAGCTTCTTTACACTGCTAACCTACACTGTTGAAGCTCAAAAATAACAAACATTTCTCCACTTATAAGTAGATACTGTATTCCCAAAGATTTTCATACCATCAGTTAAGAAAAATGCTTGCGGCAGATTCCTTTTCAACATTCTTCTACAGTAGAGTTCGTATCTCTCTGAGCAGCAGGTTCTCTAGTTCTTCAGAGTTCATTTCCTTGCTGTTGGGCTCCGTTGATCCAGAAATCACACAGGTATATTAAACGACAGCTGCCAACATGAAATGCCAGGACTCTACCATCTGCTTCCCCACCTCTGCAGTGGAGTTTTTAAGGATCAAACATAGCTGTTTTCATTCAAAAATAGATATGTTCTTTTAACACATCTAGATTCACGCCTATTACATGGCAGGCACAATAGCAGCACACTTGCTTTCATTTACTCTCCTATATGCGTGTGTGTGTGTGTTCACATATGCATGTGTGTATGTCTCTGTGTGTGCGTTAGGATGAAATAGATTAAGATCTAAAAACAGACAAGACTTGAACTTCCTACACAAGGCATGGGTTCTAGCACAAGAATTTCTACACTTTCAATCTAAATTATAAGTCTGCACATGTTCATTTTATTGTAAAATAAGCTGCTCAGGGCTTAAAAACTGATACACCTATCATGCTTAGTATCAAACTCACAGAGCTCTATCTACATTGATGTTTATCTTCATTTTGTGGCTAGAATAAACTCTCAAAATTTCAATCAATACAATGATTTACCTATGTTTTGTGGTAAATTCTGACTAAAGTAACTGCTCCTTTTAGTATCTTTTGCTGAGGATTTGCATGTTTAAAAGCAAACACATCTGAAACTTTGCCTGCTGAAACCATTTATCAAAACCTTTGAATTGCTTTCAAGTACCAAAGAAATAATTCAACTTAACTTTAATTTGGAGACAACTCACTAAATACAGAAAAAATATTTCCCCATGTATTTTATAACCCTTTGATTTTGAACTACAGTCTAAGAATGAAGCTATTGGAATCTTCAATGGACCAGAAGTTGATATTCCTGATCTAGATTATTTATATTTGCAATTGGATCAATACTACAGAGCAAAAACCAGTGTGTGCATGAAACAAATAATCACTAGAGAAAACCACAGCAAACTATGAAACAATGTCAGTGCAATATCTAAGTGAAAGTGATATACAACTATCAAGCCCATCGGAAAAACAGGTGTGGTTACAAGCACTTTTTAAAAACACTTGGACCATTTTACCCAGGCAAAATAATAACAAGTGCAAAAAGATTTGTCCCTTCTGAGAATAAACAATTACAATAGTAGGTTGAGTTCAGTAAGTGGTATTTTTATGATAAACTGTGAGTGCTCTGCCTATAATATCATTTCAGTGTATATGCATATCACACTTAGCATTCCATCTCTTGCTCTATGCCATCACAAACATTAACTCTGTCTTTACCAAAACTCTCCAAATTTACATAACATATTTATACAACAGCGAAATTAAGAGTTCAAAAATTATACCTTAATTTAACTTGATGGAAAATTACTCAAAGATACTTACTGCCTCTTTAATTTCACAGGAGAAAACATGTATCTGAAAGTCTTCTGAACCATGAGAACTCTCTGTAAATGCAAAGCAGTTGCTCTCTGTTGTCCCATCATGTCCACGTGCACAGAATAAGACTTTATAAATCGGAAAAGATGCTATCTCCATATTTCTGGATTGGTCAATGATTCTGAAAAACAATGGGAAAAAACAGATAATATATTAAGTACTAAAGTCAAAGGCAAGTCCTGCCCCCGGGGCACACTGAGAAGGCAACTGAGACTGGGTGTGGTGGCACATGCCTGTATTCCTAGCACTTGGGAGGCTGAAAACAGGAGAATCACTATGAGTCTGATCTACATAGTGAGACCCTGTACTAAACACATAAAAAAATTAAACATCATAAAAAGTAAAGTCAAAGACAAATAGTTCTACTATGCCAATGGATGCCACATAAGCACAATTGCTCTGGAAACACAAAATTAATTGATATTAACAATGCAAGGTCAGGTAAACAGCTCAGCAGTCTAAGTGCCTGCCTGGCAAGTACAAGGACCAGGGTTTGATCCCTGGTACAACATGCCATGCCAGCCCCAGAATCTCAGGCAAACCATGCCAGCCACCAAATCTGAGCATGGTGGCACACTCTGGTAATCCCAGTGCTGGAGAGAGACAGGAAGATCACTATGAGTCACAGCTGTGTAGTAAGATCCTGTAGCAAATAAATAAATAAATACATAAATAAATAATTTTTAGGGCCAGCCCGATAGCTCAATGGACTAAAATGCCTGCTTAGGCAGAGCCTAACGGCCGGGGTTTGATCCCTGGCATACTGTGCCGGCCCTGAGCACACTGAGATGGGAACTGAGACTGGGTGTGGTAGCATGCACCTGTAATCCCAGCACTTGGGAGGCTGAAAACAGGAGAATCACTATGAGTTGGATCTACATAGTGAGACCCTGTAGAGCCTATAGACCCTGACCTAAATAAAAAAATAATATTAATAATTTTTTAAAATGCAAGCAAAGTGTCTTACACATGTGCATGTACACATACACACACAAATTTTTTCTTTTGATAATTTATTCATTCTTGTGTTTCCTAAGACCCATCTAATCACTCTAAAGTCAAGTATGGACCACCAGTTAAAATCTATTCTCACTCATCCTAATGTCTAGTCTTTTTCTGTTAAAAGGAATACTAGTATAGAAAAACATTAACTCATCCCTGGAAAGCCCATATCTTTTCAGATCAGTACCTTATAAGTTTACCTAACCTCCAAATCAATGTACAACTAAAAACTAATTTATCACAAAAAAAGGATCAGGTGATTGCAAAGAGAGATTCAACAATGTAATAATTGCTGAAAGGAGTTCAAGAGATTCAAAATCAAATAACCCTCTGGCTTTCACTACACATCTCCTCATCCTAGACATTGAGTGTATCTTCAAGATCTCAAACTGAGAACTGAGGGATAGGCTGAGACTGAGGGGAAGCAATTACCAGGTACACAGAGGCAAGTCAAAACACTAAATCCTGTGCTCAATTCCTAAGCACACACTAAAAAAAAAAAAAAAAAAACTAGGTATGGATTGAAACTAAATCAATGAATGTAAACAGAAACATAAAAGCACATTGTTGACACATTTCACTTATGAATCTTGTACAGGGTCTCACTACTCAGCACACCAGGGGGCAGGTACGCCAGTGTGGTACGCGGTACCTGGGCTCAAACCCCGGTCTCTGCACTTGCCTAAACAGGTACTTACTCTGCTAGCTATCTCGCCAGCCCATGAGATATCTCACCAGCCCATTTTTGACATTTTATTTGTAAGTATTTTTTTAAAACTCTTCCCTGGAAAACTCAAAGCATCTTTTTAGCCAAGCTTTCAAAATTTATATTGCTATTAGTCTGATACTTAGAACTTAAGCTATTACTTTAGTTTTTGAAGACAGACTAACAATATATTTTTATGTACAATCTGAGTAGTAGAAATCCAAATAATGTTTGCATTTTATTTTTATGTATAATGCCTACTTTGGGCACAACTTTGTAAATATCCCACAACAGGAACACAGGATAAGCCTAAATAGAAGGATTACTTTGCATATGTATTGTAAGTCAAATCACAGTAAGTTCTACATCTGAATTATGACACAACATCCTCATCACCACATAAAACCTTTAATACATGTCTACAGAAAAAGAAAATAAGAGCTTACCTCACAGAACCTTCTGGAACATTTGGCACATACAGAGTAACAGGAAAGGGATTCTGACTAGAAGATCTCATGGTTGCCATTGCCCGTAAAGCCTCCACTTCATTACGTGGAGAAGAAACTTTCATACATCCTAAGTAAGTCAGTTTATTAAATAAAACACTGTCTTCTTCAGGGATTCCACTTGGAGAACATGGTCTGGGTGTGGAAATTTCTGAAGGAAAAAATAAGACACACTCAGAAGTCAATACAAAACTCCACAGTTTAATTTTGCCAAATGCTCAAAAAAGAAATACTTAAAAGTAAAAACTATTAAAAGGAACATAAATTTGGCCTAAATAAAATGAAAATTAAATAAAAGTAAAATTAGTTACTAAGCAACCTAACTTTCTAAGCAAAAGTAAACAACATTAAAATGTTACAACTCATAGAAACAACAAAAGTCAAGTCCTTATTTTCTGTTTTCCTTGTTGGCTTCTATGAACCATACAATCTTCAAAAAAGTATTTTTTTCCTCAAAGTAAGTGTTCTTGATGAATGAACCTATTATTACTTCACTCAACTCCACTTACTCCTCATAATGGATTTGGGGGGGTAGAAACTGTTCACTTAAATCAAAGTACAGCATGAAGGAAAGAACCAACTATGGCTAAAACTACTTGCATGCTATTAACTGGTATAGTGCTCTCTTTGTGGCTCCATCTAAAACACATATTCATCTCCACATTTTCCACTTTTCTACCCACACACACTGTATAACACTAAACACACTTATCTCACCTCAATGAGCTCCTTATAGCATGTTCAACTTCTCACTGCCTGGATTCCCCTCATAGGATCTTTTGTTGTAGTTGTTTTGAGACAGGGTCTCATTATAAAGTTCAGGCTGGCCTTGAACTCACAGCAATCTTCTTAGCCTCCTTAGTACTAGGAATACAGGCATGTGCCACCACAACTGACCTTCACATGGGATTTTAATAAATAATCCAACAAAAGCTATTTCAAACTCTCCCCCTCCAACTCCAATATATTATATTAAAATAATCTCACCACTGACTTTCTAGTGAAAAACAAAAGCCATTCAAAACGAACTCTAGAAGATAGTTCTAGAGGCATTATAACATGGCATACTTTCTATACCATATTCTTCTGCCACTGAAGCATGTTTTTCTCCCTTTTTCTCCCTTTTCATTGTACAAAATCCCAAAAGGAGAGCTAAAAAACTACCAATCATTTTAAGGTTAAATATTAACATGTTTAAATTATGTGCTAGTATTATTATATGCACATGTTATTGCATTTTCATTGATTTTGTAAGCACTTATTACTTGCAATGTCTTGCAGTAAAACCACACTTCAGTGACTGTCAAGCATGGTAAATAGTTTAAGTCATCTGATGTTTCTGTCACTGCTATCCTAAAGAGGTGGTGAAGGAACACTTAAAAACTTACAAATACTTTACAAATTCAAGATTCAGAACTTTATAGACTTCAAATATGAGTAAGGAAATTGTTCCAAAATGATAGGTGATAAAACTGGCAGATAGGCCTTTAATATTATAAAGATAATAAAAGATTTAAGAAAAACATCTAACAAAATAAGTAGAAAAATGAAAGAAAAAAAGAGCCAAAAGTTTTAGACTAGCCAGGAGTAGTGGCACATGCCTGTAATCCAGCACTCTGGAGGCTGAGGCAGGAGTATTAGTGTGGATTCAAGGTCAACAAGGGCTATGAAGTGAATTCCAGGCCAACCTAAACTACATTGTAAAACTCTGTCTCAAAACAAACAACAACAACAACAAAAACTTATTCATGTTAGACCTGAAGAATGCAAGATGCAAAGTGAAATAATCACTTGATAGTGATATCAGCAGAATGTAAATTACAAAAGAAAAACTGTTGAAAGAAGTTCCTCATGCTAAAGGAAAATGACAAGAGAAGGAGCACACAAAGACTTTTCTCTTGCTTTTTAAATTTTTCTCAAAATGTTACAGATTCTGTAAAGCAAAAAGAAAAAACCACTACTCTGTAGAATTTATAACAAACATATGTAAGTAAAATAAAGACAATAAAATCATAAACCCTGCAAGTAGAAAAAAATGGAAAAGTCTTATGATACAGATGAAGTGTAGATATACTGTAAACATGTCAAAAATTCAGCATATAAATTCTCACATCAACTACTAAAATAATAAAACAAGTTTATACTTTTCTTTTAGTTTTTGGTACTGGGAATTGAACCTCAGGACCTCATGTTTGCTAGGCTGGCACTGTGCCACTGAGCTATATCCCAATAAAACAAGTTATACAAATTATAAAACAATTAAATAGCTGGTATAGCATACCAGTAAAAGAGCCAAAATGAACATTAAAAAATACTCAGCCCCCAAATAAGTATATGTTCCAATTCTCCAAAATGAATACAATCATTATGTATTGAAAACAAATACTAATTATAAATAAATAACTTGATTGAAAAGAAGACAAGGACAGAAATCAAAAAGGACAATGAGTAAATTACACAACAATAGGCAGAAATACTTATAACCAAATATATTAAAAATCACATTAAAAGTAAAGGCCCAGGCCTGAGGACACAGGTCAGTGGCAGATCACTGCCTAATATGGGCAAGGATCTGGGCTCAATTCCCAGTACAGCTACAGATTTTAGGTTGGGGTTTTTTTGACAAAATGCAAAACTTAAAACCACTCAATATGAATTTTATATAACTTTCCTTGGTCACAGAATGCTATTCTCCTTTAGACATGTTTCAACCATTCTTACTTTGCAAACTATAGCAAAAACAAGCAAGGGATAAATTTTGCCCACAGGTAACAGTTTGCTGAGCATAGCTTAACCTCAGTTAAAACTTGAGATTGTCAGAAAGCTATCTACAAAAAACAAGGGGCACGGGCTAATTGGGCACTGAACCCAATTAACTCTTCATCCATAACCTCTTTCTATATATTTTAAGACAGAATCTTAAATTTGCAAAGTTGCTGAGTGTAAGGTTGAACTTGTAAAACTCTTGCTTCAACCTCCCAGAATGCTGTGACAATAGGTGTGTAGCACCACACCAGGCTCAAAAATCAGATTTTATAAAAGTAACATGTTGTTTGATGCTCTAAGAAGGCATTGAGAAACCACGTTTAAATATGAAGACATAAATATGCTAAAAGTTAAACACTTTATAAAACAATACATCACACATTCATTAATTATAAGAAAACCAGGGTGCCTATATAGAGAGAAAAGGCTAGATTTTAAAGCATGGGGGAGAATCATGATTTATTTTTTACAATTTCACAAACAGGAAAATGAAAATCCAGTATATGCAGATATACTCTAGAAGAAATACTATAGAAAGTTCTTCAGCTGAAGAACACCATCATAAGACAAATGGGATTTTAAACAATATCAGAAATAGAGAATACAATAAATTGTTATAGCTGTATTACCAGAATATACATTTTCTGAAACAAAGGTAAAGCAGTTATTTTTAATATGCCACGTTTTTCTTAACATACACAATATTTATTCTACTGGATTGCAGAGAAGACTATTTCTAACTCCATATCAGCCACAAAACAGCTGTCTGAGCCTCCATAGGTGTCGGTGGTGGTGGCAGTGGCAGTGGAGGTGGAGGTAAGGTGGAGCAGGGGAGGAGGCAGTGGAGGTGGAGGTAAGGTGGAGCAGGGGAGGGGGAGGTGGTAGTGGTAATGAACATTTTTAGGTACTCATTTTGTGCCAAGAATTTTATAATATATGGATAGTATCATTTAATTCTCCTACACACCTATGATGTGAACTGAATTTTATCTCTGCTTCACACTTGGAGAAACTAACATTTGAGAGGATAAATAACTTGCTCACAGCCACACAGTCAGGGCAAGGTACAGCAAACCCAGCTCTAAACTCCAGATACCATGTCAACTTCACTGAGGTTTAAAATAAAATGAATTAGTAATCCCTTGAAAAGGCAGGTTTCTTGGCAACCCACTTGGGTCACCTTCTGTCCCTCTTTTCAGATACAAGCTTTCTTTCCCCCAATAAATAAATTCTTTTCTTAAAAAGAAAAAAGAAAGGTGAATTAGTAGCAAAGAGTAATTCTTGTTCTGTTTTTAACTATAGCATAATACAGTTATTTAAGGGAAGAAATTAGCCTCTTTGTATTACCAGAAGTTCACAGCATTTAAATACTGAACATTCCATATATGTGTGTGTTTGTGTGTGTGTATGTGTGTGTGTGTATATATATATATATATATATATATATATATATAGAGAGAGAGAGAGAGAGAGAGAGGAACAGAGACAGAGAGAGACAAAGAGACAGAGACAGAGAGAGATTGATTCAATAAGGCTAATGGTCCTTTCAACAACCTAACAAATACATGTCATCATCGGCATTACCTCAATCCTATTACATCTGCAACTCAATGTATCATAACTGCAACCCTCAGGTAGACAAAACTCATAGTAATTATCAGATTAGATTATGGCTAGTGAAAATCCTGAATTAAGCAGGCAAACAGCAAAAACACTTTTAGCAGAGCCTGACTTGCGTGCCTGGTAAAAATCAAACACAAGGTAGGAGGTTTAGTTCCACCTAAATAAATACAAATCAAGTCATATTATCTATCTATTCCAGTCTTATTCTTTAACTGCCTCATCCATTCCTCAGAGCAGAGACATGCAAAGAATAACAAAGGGTATGAGACAGAGGACTCATCCAAAGATTTCCTGACAGAGATGAATCTACACAGCTAGCATATATGAATAGTAAATGACAAAAGCAACTTATCAAAATGTTTAAACAAGAGCTCTCATCAACCTCATTTTATATCTGGCAAACACCACATACTGTTCAACTTCCGCCACTTCAGTCTAATTGGCAGAAAGTTTGCTGCCATTGAAAGTACCTGTTATGTAAAGTCAATCATAATTTTATTAGCAAACACTATTCTGATTACAACTAAGAAAAGCCAGCAAAAAAAGCTAAGCCAGAAATTGATTGCATATGAAAACTAAAAATATATGCCCAGGAGAAAAAATACAGCGAACTTACTTGTAAAGCAAAGAAGAGTCTTCTTAACCACAGAAGTATTCAGTGAAACATAAATTTTTTAAAATGTAGTCAGGGTGTTAAGAATATAAAAAGAAAGACTCTAAAGAATATGCTTAGAAATAGGAACTGGAACAGTTACTTCATTCCAATAATTCATCAAAGTCATATTAGAAGATACAAAGGATCCCCTCCTTTGAATTAATCCAAGTTTGGTTTATATCTGGATGTCTTCCCCAAGCCCCTCATGCACTCAAAGATGGGGGCTGTGGGGGTTGACAGGATCTGAAGGCAGAGTGAATATCAGTGCATTCCTCCACTGGTGAGTTTATAGCTAAACGTGATACTGGGAGGCAAAGCCTGATGGGAGGAGGGGAACCACTGGAGGCGTGGCATGAAAAGGTCCGTCTCCCTCCTCCTCCCTCATCTGTCTGTTTCCCCCTGCCATGCCTTGAGCAGCTCTCCTCTGCCATGGACCCCTGCCAGGCCACCCTGCCTTAGTTTAGTAATCACACACTCTACACCAGCCATCTCTAAAAAGTCCCACCTATGACCACATGTGGCTTTAAGAGGACATCTAAATACAAGCCAAAACATGTAGTAAATCATACTGATAGAGCTTAAAACTGAATCGCCCTTATCAGAGAAGGCATCATGATTACATTCCTCACTTATCACACCCTACTGTTCAGCAGTTTAGCCTACATCTGATCAACACACAAAAATGGATCTTTAGTGCCCTAGAACAATCAGGATAAAACCAACCTTCTCGCAATAGATGTACAAAGAAGTCTGAATACAACACAAGTCTATTTTTATCACCTCATATGATTTCCTTGACCACTAGAAAGTGAAACTCAGAATTCTTGTTCCATCAGTAAAAGAATAAAGCCTTTCTCTCTTCCACAAAGCACAAAGACATCACCTGTTCCTACCAGTCTCTGCTGGTAGTTACATTATGAAGAATGACACAAAGAAAATCAGAACCGAGTAGTTTACAAAAAAATAAGAGAGCCAGAACCAAGATCAATCTATATCTCTAATGTTCAAGCCAGCTGAAATTTAAGCTGGTTGTGGTTTTAGTGTTATTATACCCAAAAGCATCTTATCTTAAAAGCTGGTAATGGGAGTACAAACCCTACTTATTTGTGGGTAGAAGTCAAGCATGATGCTACATACCTGTAACTCCAACTCAGAACTGTTGTGAGTTCAAGGGTAGCCTGAAGTATAGAGAAAGAGCCTGTCTCACTCACACACACACACACACACACACACACACAGATGGAGCTGACATGCTATTATACCAATTATGAAGTTAAGAGTGGTGTGAGTAAAGACCCATAACATGAAAGACTGTCTAGAACACTATTCTGATGCCCAAGAATTTATTAATCTGTTCAGTAAGTACTGATGACCTAGCATATACAAGCACTGAGGGTAAAGTAAGAACCCACACAGAGTCCTTCTTTGAAAGAACACCAAGATCTGATTTTACAAGCAGATACACAGGTACAAATACAAGAAACAAGTGTTAACTCTTAACCAGAACTAAAAGCCTGATGGCCCTGATCTTATTTTTTAAAAAGCTAAGATTTTTTAATTTTCAACCTAAAACTTTCATTATCATTTAATCTCATTTGCCTCAGGATTTCTAATAGTAACACAAAAATACCTGTGTTAGATGGATCCAAAATTAACTGAAGAGAAGGCTTATATGTCTGGCTTGCTGGAACATCTCCAATGGAATAATCTGCTATCTCACTGGAACTTTGACAATCAACAAGAGGACTGCTTTGCCCTTTCTCAGAATCTCTCAGAATCTCTTCCATGGCTTTTTCCAATTGTTCATCTCCATTAGAAACAATCTATAAATACAGTAAAATAATTCTGCTTCAATACCATTATGTTTCTACGCAATTTATGAAAAATGTTTTATTCCAAAGAGTTAAAACAAGTCAAATGTGGTGACATACGCCTGTAATCCCAGCATCTAGGAGGCTGAGGCAGGAGAATCACTGCAAGTTTAAAACCAGCCTAGGCTACAAAATGATCTCAAGATCAGAACTGCATAGCAAAATCTAATCTCAAAAAATAAATTTATTAGTTAATTAAATAAAAAACAAGGCTGACCCAAACCTAAAAGTTAAAACAATCTAAATATTCACATATAAAGAGGCCAGGGATACAGCTCAACAGCATAGTGCCTGCCTGAACTCACTCTATGGTCATGCTGGGGCTTAGACTCATAACAATTCTCTTGTCTCAGTCTTCGAGTGCTGGGATTATAGCTGTGCATCACCATGCCTGACACATAAATTTAAATTAACTTAGCATAGTGTGGTGGTGCACACCTATAATCTCAGCACTTAAGAGGCTGAGGCCAGGAGTTCAAAACCAGGCTGAACAACATAGAAAGATGCTGTATCCAAAAAAAAAAAAAAAAAACTTGTTAATTAAACAGCAACAAAATACAAGATTGACTTAACTTTTCTTAAAAGGAGGGGTGGCACAAAGCCTCAGTAAATAAATCACTTAAATAAAATAATGCTGGGGTCAGGGAGATGGCTTAGTGGGGTAAGTGCTTCCCTGGCAAGCGCAAGGGCCTGAGTTCAATCCCCAGTTCTGCCAAATAAATAAATAAATAAATAAATAAATAAATGAAATAATGCTAAAACAAAGATAACTAAAATAAAGCCATTAATCATTTCAATAAAGTAATGACTGCATTCTCAATATAAAACAGGTATTTAATAATCTCATTTTTGCAATATGATTTTAATTGCAGTATTTACAATTTCATTTTATTATACTGATATATTACTATCAGTTAATGTAACACTTTAATATCACACATTTAATACTAAGTAAAAGTCATACATTAAAAAGCAGCACTTTTTGACTAATTTATCTATTCCTGTTTCTACAGGACAATTATATAATTCTTACGCACATATACTTGGGTTTTCTTGCTTCTTTTTCTCTGACTTGGGAAAAACCACCCAAAACTTTTTTAAAATACCATATCCAAATAAAAACTCTTCTGCCAAAAATGTATGATACATACTTTAAAAACATGTAGACAAAAGTCGACTGTCAAATAATCTGAGTGTTACCAGATGATTAAAATATAAAAATCATAATGGGAAAAAAAGCATCTGAAGTGAAAGAAAAATATAACTTTTATGTAATTAGCTTCTAAATCCCAGAAGAGGGAAAAAAAAAAAAACCACCAGATAAAATTATGTAAGATTTAACAATTAAGATTGTCCTTTCTAGGGCCGACCTGATAGCTCAGCAAACTAAAGTGCCTACTTACGCAAAGCACAGCAGCCAGAGTTCAGCCCCTGGCGAGTCATGCTGGACCTGCCCGCGGGGTGCTCTGAGATGGTGACTGAGACTGGGCATGGTGGCCCGAGCCTGTAATCCCAGCACTTGGGAGGCTGAAAACTGGAAAATCGCTACGAGTCCGATCTATGTAGTGAGACCCTAAGACCCTTTAGACTGTATCCTAAATCCGGGAAAAAAAAAAAAAAAAAAAAAAAAAAGATTGTCCTTTCTTTCTTATTTTCCCTTCTACATGTACCTTCTAAAATTCCAGGATAAAAAATAATCAAAAGCAAAAAACTAAAAATGTACTCAAAATATCCAGCCTCTGGATTTATCAAACACTGATTTTTATTTTCAAAGTCAGTACTTAAGAAAACCCTTAAATCTTTACATATTTCCTAAGTTTCAAACAGTTTAAAAGAAAAAATAAACATAGTGCCATATTAGAAAAGAAAAAGATACCTTCAGTTGAGGCTTGTCATCCTCTTTTGCAGAAGTATCATCTGCTTGCTGAGGAATCAAAACAAATCCTTCACTGTTCATTGCAGCCACACAATCAGATGACCCACTAACCTTCTGCAATGAAGCTCTGACCTCCATTTCAGTTCTGCAAACCTCGCTCTCCCACATCCACCTGGAAAAACTGTAAGGATTAAAATAACAAAAAGTAGATTAAAATACAAACTAATTAAAAACATGAACTAATGTAGCTTTAGAAATGGTTCACATGAAGAATTCTACTTGCTAGATGATGACTTCAAAATTAAAACAGGCTACCTCACTGGACTGGGCCACATGATGGAAATGTACTTTTTCACTCTGAGCCTCCGGACTGAAAGAACCATACTGTTCCCAGAAAAACACATAAATCAACCAAACAGCTTTACCTCTACCTAGCTCACTTATTTATCTTTAATACTGTTTTTTTTCTCTTCTGAGTGATGCAATAATTAAGCATTATACTAGAAAAACCTACAAATTCACACACAGGCTCATGCACACACGCACATGTACATTCAGCTGAGAGCAGTAGTATACTCCTGCATCCCCAAATACTTGGGAGACTAAGGCAAGAAGGTCTCTGGGCAACATAACAAGAAAGCTCAGGCAAATGCTGGGACCATGGTTTGATCCCCGGCACCACATGCCATGCCAGTCCCCGGCCCACCCCCAGGGCAGGCTGAGCTGGCCACAGAGTCTGGGCTTAGTGGCATAAACCTATAATCCCAGCGCTGGGGAGGCTGAAAAATAGGAGGATCACTATGAGTCTGAGCTGCATAGTGAGACCCTGTAACATCCAAATACATTTAAAAAAAAGTCTAAAAAGTTTTTCCAAAAATCCAACTACTTCATTATATCTAAATGCTTTCAAAAATTTTACCTTCTTATGACCAAGTATTACACCTTTAAATATTTTTTGGGGGTCACTGAAGTTGACTAACTCAACAACCTGGAGTGTAACTTCTGTTTTCCACACATTTAACACTTATCAGCACAAAATGGGGCACACATTTCTCCACAGAAAAAAATGTTATTGTGATTATCTTACTACTTTTCTCATGGTTGAGACAAAATATCTGACACCCAAAGTTAAAGGAGGAAAGGTTTATCTGGCTCACAGTTTGTACAGATTTCAGTTCACTGTCGGCTGGCTCCAAGGCAGGATGATACATGGCAGAGGGGCATCACAGAGGAACGAAAGTTCATGGCAAAGCAGGACAGGAAGAAGGCAGACAGTGGTGAAGTAGCAAGCAACAAGCAAGCCTCGCAGCCTCTCTGTGTCCCTTCTATTCTATCCAGGTTACAGGGCCTTAGAATAAGTAGCACTCACGCCCAGGGTACACCTTCCTATTATTCACACTCAGAACTATTCCAAACCAATCAGTGGGCTAATGTAGTAATCACACACTCTGGATCCCAGCATCACACTCTAAATGCAGCCATCTCTGAAAAAAGCCCCATCTAGCACTGCATGAGGCTTTATGGGGACATGTGGATACAAGCTTTAACAGGAATCAAGTACAGTTCAGTTACCCCATAGAAACTCAATATCCTTACCCTTCCCAGAGGTTCATATATTCATACCCATAATTTTGGCTGAAGATAAACCCTATGGAACAGACACTGCACACAGCCTTACGGTGACACAAGTAAGGCAGGTGGGTAGCCTACTATACTGGAGCTCATACAGTGGCAAGGAAAAAAACAAGTAAACCAAAGGGGAAAAAAATTCAAATGACACTAAAGGTTATAAAAAATATAAGACAGTTTAATATGACAAAGAAATTGTGAGAAGTAGAAGAATAACTTCTTATTGGTGGCAGGGAAGAACTTTCTAAAAGGGAACTACATGAGCTAAAACGTTTTTAAAAAAGAGAAAGATACTATCTATCTCTATGTAGACAGCTTGCAATCTGCACAGAGACAAAATGTGAAAGAGGGGCAAGACAAACAGGTTCACTAAACACAGAACCCTATAAACTACAGTAAATCTATGCAGAAAATCTCCCAGGAAAGGGGTGGAGTGGAGGGAGCTGTTTTCATTGCCATATATAAATAAGATTCTCTGTTTTGCCAGTAGGTGACACTAAAAACACTGATCTAAGCCAAAATACTTTCAACTTCAATTCACATTTTTAAAACATGCTTTCCAACCTTATTAAAAATCAAAATTCCCAAATCTACCTTCATTTACTTGTTCTGCATGACAATATCTTTCTTTGTTAAAAGCCATCAAGGAGGCCAGCCAAGATAACTCAGCGGATTAATGCCCCTGCTTAGAGAGAGGCAGGGGCCAGGGTTAGATCCCAGGGCTGCAGGGCTGGCCCTGCCCCAGGGTACACTGAGATGGTGATTGAGACTGGGCATGGTGGCATGTGCCTGTAATCCCAGGGCTTGAGAGTCTGAGGATCACTATGAGTCCAATCTATGTAGTGAGACACTAGATCCTGTATTACATAAATTTAAAAAAAAATAAAAGCCTTCAATTCAAACATATTGATCTGTCTAAACTCTCAAGGTTTTTCTCATTCTGCATGTTATATATGTCCAGAAATGCACTGTGTTAGCCACCCGTGTGTTTATTCCACTGACTGCACCATGAATCCTTGATTGTCAAGGTACCACACAACTCTGATGTCTTTTTACAGAAAATCCTTCTCCAAGTCTTCAGTTCACAGCTTCTTCATATGATTTCTAATTGCTTGAAGCTGTTTTCCATTGCCATAACCTAAGCAATACCTTCCACTGTTATGAACTAAAATGCCAAATGTTATATGTATGTGCTAATAACCTCCTAAATTTTTATCCCAATTCAAATGTCTCCTTCAATTTACTTAAAATCCACTTCTCTACTTAACAATTTCAAATAAAAGTCTTAATAGTATCTAAAGTAAAATTTACCAAAATAGTATGTCTAATAATTGCCTTCAAATTTCTCGTTCATATTTCCCATTTCAGTAAATAATACAGTCTTTCACTAAGTTACTTAAATAAAAACCTGGATATCATCTTTTATTCACCTCCACGTTTTCTACTCCTCACATCAGCAAGTGATGGTCAACACCACTTCAAAATAAACCCTGTGTCTATCCATTTCCTATCAGGCCCACTACTACCACCTAATTCAAATAACGTTTTCATCTACTATAAATGTCTCCTACCACCGATCTCCACCCCTCAATCTATTCTTCACAGCCCCCCCCCCAACATCTGGAGAAATAAATTAGATGGACCTGAAACTCCACACTATAATCTTTTCATTACAATTCAAATAAAACCCAAACTATTTGCCACAATTTACTATGGCCAATGTAACTTTGCACCTGCTACTTTCTTATTACAGGTCATTAACTGCCGCAAGCTTTTCCCCATGTTAGGGTCTTAGTTCTAGTCTCTTAATCGTTATACTGTTGACAATTTCAGTATCAGTCCAATTCATTAATTCATTACATACTAAATAAGTCAATACTATACATCAAAAATCCTCCTAGTGAGTTAAGTCTCTGTGTCTTCCTAAAGCTGATATTCTAATGGAAGAGACAGAATACTGCCTAAATAAGCTCCTTTTCTTAAACAGAAACACCGCTGAGGTCTATTTATCTGAAGCAGGACTACTAGGGCCTTAATATTCTGGTAGGTGCTGGATGTGCTAGATGCTAAGTGTAGAACAACCTAGAAACAGGAACTTGGTTTTTAATAACTTCATCTCCAGGAAAGTCACTGTGTTCTCACAGTGAAAATCCAATTCTAACAGATGGAGAGGGAAAAAGACAATAGCAAAAACTCTATAACAAAGGCCTATTCTTTGGGAGAAAATTTTTGCCAGAGCCTTACCCCAACTGATGGAAAGAACTTTCTCCCACACCAATCATCTCCAGCCTTACCACAGAAAGAAGATAGGTAAAAGGCAAAAGAAATCGAAGCTTCAAGAACATAGACTGTGGGTACTTCAACCAGTTCAGGAAATAGGAGGCTGGGAGAACAAATCCTGCTACACTAAAAAAATACTTCAAATGATCACACAACTCCAAGCTGTGAGTCCACTGAAAGGCTGAAATTTAATTTTTTTTTCTCCAAATGCCTTCAGGGCAGGTTTGGCTGGTTTGAGTTCTGGGGGTTGAACCACAGCAACCTGAGCCTGACTGCTTTGTTGAAGCAGCCACTTAAAGAGCTGAGCTAAGGGGCAAGCCCCCTGAAATTTAATTTTAAAAAAAAAATTTATAGAATGTCACATCTTTGACACACACATAAACATACATGCACAACTCTTACTATCACATAAACAAGCTTTAAAATGATACAACCTTAAGAACTGCAACACACAAAAACTCCAAGGAGGCGTACACAGAGAAACCCAAAGATAACAGCAGAACTGAAACCCCCTAGCAACTATAACTACAGCAAACACTAAACAGGATGCAACTTATGAGAATGATGTTACTTCTCACACTAAAAACCTATTCAGTTTGTATTAACAACATGCCCAGTTTTCAAAAAACTTATGAAGCATTATAAAAGGCAATTCTTTAAAGGTCTGAAAAGACAAAGCAATCATTAAAACCAGACTTCTAGAACACAGTTGTCAAAACTAGCAGGCAGGGAATTTAAACAATCAAAATAACAGTAATTTATATGTTAAAGGTTCTAGTAGAAAAAATACAATCCATTAAAGAACATTAGTACTATAAGCAGAGTGACAGAAACTAAGAAACAGTTAAAAGACATTTTAAAAAACATAGTAACAGTAATGAATGCCTTATAAATTTTTTTTTTAAAAAAAGAAATGAATGCCTTGCGTGGGCTCATCAGTAGACAACACTGCTAAAGAGAGAATCTGTCAACTTGAAGAGAAGTCAATAGAAAATAACCTGAAAGAGGAGGAGAAACAAAGAGTATGAGACAATTTCAAAAGTGTACCATATACATAACTGGAGTTATACAAAGAGAAGAAATAGAGTACAAAGCAAAATACTTTCATAATACCAAAAATTTCCCCAAATTAATGAGACGCATGTAACATAAGTGAAAGGAAACTCAGAAAATACCCCAAATGATGCATAAACACAGAAAGAGATATTCAAGCTTCAGAGAATGAAAAACATCTGAACAGAACATCCAAGAACTATGGAAAATATTCAGAAT